CTTCAAGAGAGGGGGGTCCAAGAGGGGTGGGGTGCAAATCATGGCCCGAGGCATGTGCGCGGACCAGGGGGGGCCAGGGAACGTGTTGAAATAAGAGGAAGCGCAATGAAATGAAATCTGGGGAAATATCATGGCCCACGGCTGTGAGGGTCCTGGAAACGGCAGGGCCGTTTTTTTACTGTTTCCAAAAAATGTCCCTTGAAAATGGAAACGGCAACAAAAACGGCGACCAAAAACGGCAAAAAAACAGCTCCAGGATTGGAACCGGATCCGGAACCGGTCAAAAAACGGCGACGGAACCGGTCAAAAAACGGCGTCGGAACCGGCAACAAAAACGGCAGAACGGAACCGGTAAAAAAAACTGCCCTGTCGTTTCCAGGGCCCACTGAGGCCCACGGCATGATATCCCCCCCCCCTGGCCATCACCCCCCTCTTTGCCGCCCCCGAGCACGGCGTCCCCGGAGGCCCCGACCCTTTCCCCGGGGCCCGCTCTTCATCTCCCGTCGTTCTGCCACGGTCCTGGGGCCCGGCGAGGGCCTCGAGAGGCCAAACACGGCGACAAACCTCCGTCCTGATTCCCTATCTAGGCTCTGCCTAGAAGGGTTCTTACTCTCTGGGCTTAAAGGGGCCGGGCAGTGGAAAGCGCCCCGGGCGGTTCCCCCAGTCTCCGCCCCGCGGTTCCCCCAGTTACGTCCCCTTAGCTTAGCGTTGCTTATCTCATCTTAGCTTAGCTTATTTCATCTTAGCTTAGCTTAGCTTCATCTTAGCTCAGGTTTATCTTAGCTTAGCCGACCTTCATCTTAGATTCGCTGAGCTCTAGCATAGCAGAGCACAGCACAGCATAGCGTAGCATACCATAGCGCAGCACAGCACAGCATAGCGCAGCATAACATGGCATAGCATAGCATTAGCAACTAATGCTGCTTTCCTAGGGGCTCCAACTTCTAGGTAGGGTCGCACTGGGGTAATTTTTATGTACTACGCGAGCATTGTCTGGGTTCGAATCGCTGCTCATGCCTCGAGGGAGGGCGACCGAGCGAGAGGTCGGCGGCAGGGCCCTGGGGGAGGACAGCCCGAGCGGCGGGCCCTCTCGGCGAGGCTCAGGGAGGGGCCCTGGCCGTCCCGAGAAGCCTCCAGGGCCCTCTCCGAGGCTGCAGAGGCCGGGGAGATGTGAGGGGCCTGTTCTCCACCGCCACCACCACAAGTTGGAGGGGGAGGGGGTCCCCCTACACCTCCTCCTCCACCTCGTCCACCTCCACCTTCTCCTCCTCCTCCTCCTCCTCCTCCTCCTCCTCCTCCTCCACCCCCTTCCCCCCTCCAACTTATGGTGGTGGTGGTGGTGGTGGAAAACAGGCCCATCAAGATGTAAGACTCGGGTACGGGGGGCTCGGGTTGGCCCGACGGGGCCATCATGAAAATGACGAGACCCAGTCTGGAATGTGACTCGACCTCCTGCTACAGACATCCCACGAAAACTGGACCGTCAAAATCCAGGACGCGCTCGTCAGAAAGCGTCGGCAAACCCGAGTCCCAGCGTACTCGAGTCTCACGTTTCCCCGAAGAGGGCCTCTCAGAAGGCCAGAGGGCTTCCGAGAAAGCCCTGCTGCGAGGCGGGGATTGATCCATATTTCACCGCCTGGGGACCGACCTCCTGGTGTCCCAGCGGGCGGTGGATATGGCTATACTTTGGCCTCTGGGGGCTCAAATGGCTACACTTTGACCTCTGGGGGGCCCAAATCTATTGATAGCTTATGTTGCATCCTCGGGGGACCTTCTCCGTCTCGTCGCGGCCCTGTCCGCGTCGAATCCGTGCCGAATCCATGGCGGCCTCGTGGGATCTGTCGGACTCCGTGCCGAGTTCGCGCCGGAGCCACGCCCAAGTCCGCGTCGAGTCCGCGTCGAGCCCGAATCGGGCACAAGAAGAGGCACAATGTTTTGGGACGGGCGAGGTCCCCCAGAGATGCGGCTTAATGCATGTATCCGTAGCCACCGCCCGTCGAGGTCTCCGAAAATCGATGCTCCAGGCGGTGGTCATGTGCAAGTCCCCGCCTCGGATCCGCCGCGCTCCGAGCAGGCCGGCACCCTCTCACTCTTCTCCCCCGTTTGGACGACCGAAAGGAATACAGTCGGGGCCTTTACCTAAGGAGCCCAAATGAAGGAACGAGGCCCCTTTTTTCCATAAGTTGAACTTTGATTTCCGATCAAAAACAGAAGGAACACCTGAAGCGAGCTGTGAAACACTTCAGGAACACGGAGCCCCTCCCCAACGAAAAGGGTTCCTTCTTCAGGGCCCCGACTGTACATACGGACAAAATGGGTACAGTGCCCAACAGCGAATCCTGCCCCAAACCAACAGCGGCCGCTGTTGGGCAGGCGGGCGGCCTGCTGTTTCAAGTGGACACAGTCCGCGGCGACGTCGACAGCGACTCCTGTTCAAGACGAACAGGATGGGGGGCGCGCGAACATGGATTAGTTAGCGATCCATGGATTTGGCGCGCGGTCGCCAAGTCCATGGATCCGGGGAGGTGCCCTCCCCAAAATGCGGCCGGTGCCGCCTCGTTCGGCGGAGGGAATGCGCGATTTCCAATGGAAATGGGACCCGTCGCTAATCCATATTCTCAGACCCCTGACGTAATGATCGTTTCCTGGCGCCGGCCCTCAGAGGTCTCGACCCATTTCCCTGGGCCTGTTTTTCCTCCCGAATCGTTTTTCGACGGTCCCGAGGGCCGGGAAGGGCCTCCAGGGACTGAGAACATGAACAAAAACCTCCCGTGCTGTTTTTTCGTTGCCCGCGGGGGTCTGGGCTTGCGATCGCCGGGCGGGAGCTGCTGTCGGTCTGTGCGCCCGCTCTTTCCGAACCCGTTTCGGTCGTCCCGGCCCCAGGGCGCGCCGCCGAGGAGACCCGCCCCCTCTGCACGTCGTCAAGACTGTCGAAACCCTCCCCTCCCCTTTCCCCTCCCCCTCCCCCTCCATGGCCTCGACCCGTTCCCTGGGACCTGCTCGCGAGCGTGTTCTTATCCAGCCCCCCCCCCCCCGGGTCATGAACAAAATCGCGACGGGACGCCTTGCGTTTCTTTCAACCTCTGGGGGCCCTCGCCAGGCCTCGGGGCCGTCAGAAAACGACTCAGGGTGAGAAGCCGGTCCCAGGGAATGGGTTGACATCTCTGGGGGTCGACGCTATGAAAAAGTCATGACGTCATGACGTCGGAGGTCTGGGTATTCGGCGTTTCGACGTTGGGCGGAAGGGGGCGAGAGGAAGTAGGGGGGGGGAAGGGGTTTGGCTCTGGACCTCTCACTCTCGCCCCCGAGCAGGCCAGCCCCCTCTCACTCCTCCCCTGGGGCTTCAGAGCGGGTGAGGGCGGGGGGGGTCTGGCTCTGGACCTCTGCTTAGTGCGACTGTTTGCAACCGTGCGTCCTCTGGGACAGCCTCCCCCTGCTGGAACCAGGCGCCAGAAGCAGCCAAGACCTACTCCATGGGGGGGGGGGGGGGCGCGAGGGCCCGAGCCGATCGGCAGAGCAATGCAGAGGCAAACGGCCCCTTGCCCATTCCTCCTCCTCCTCCTCCTCCTCCTCCTCCTCCTCCGCCTCCTCCACCTCCGCCTCCTCCTCCTCCGCCTCCTCCTCCTCCTCCTCCTCCTCGGCATCCTCCTCCGCCTCCACCTCCGCCTCCGCCTCCGCCTCCTCCTCCTCCTCCTCCTCCTCCTCCTCCTCCACCTCCACCTCCTCCTCCTCCTCCTCCTCCTCCCGCCTCCTCTCCTCCTCCTCCTCCTCCTCCTCCTCCTCCTCCTCCGCCTCCTCCTCCTCCTCCGCCTCCTCCTCCTCCGCCCCCTCCTCCGCCTCCTCCTCCTCCGCCCCCTCCTCCTCCTGTGCCTGCCTTGCCCTCGGCTCCCGGGGCCCGAGCCGAGGGCCCCCCACGGAGGCCGCAGCCATACCACCAGGCGCTGCCTGCCCGCCACGGCCTCTCTCTCGGCACGGCGCGCTGGGGCTCCGCTCGGGCTTGGGGGCACTGGGGCAGTGCAAAGGAAGGTCACCACTCGGGGGGTCGCCACTTCCTCGAGAAAACGCCACTTCCTCGAAACTTCCTCGAGGAACTGGGCCCCCCAGAGCCCCGAAAACGCAAAGAAGCTTCCAAGAACATCCTCGACCCCTCGACTCTCCATCCTGGAACCTCGATTTCCAGGAGAAGCTGGCGACCCCCCCAATGGTGACCCCCCTTGGCACTGCCTGGGGCACGAGGCCGGAGGCGGGGCACGAGGCCTATTATAGCCGGGCCTGTCCCTCTACAGTCGGGGCCTTGACCTGAGGAGCCCTAGGTAAGGAACGAGGCCCCCTTTTTTCCACGAGTTGGCCTTCGCTTTCCGGTCGAGGACAGTCGGGTCGGGCGAAAGGGGGGGATAGCAAAGGGGGGTTTGAGAATCAGCTCACGTAGCTGATTTTCCCGGCGCCTCCTGGCGCCAGGAGGCGGCCATGTATCGAGGAATGGGCTCCTCGGTGGGGCCGAAACCAGCTGCATGCAGCAAATTTCGTAACCCCCCCTTTCCCAATCCCCCCCTTTCGCCCGGCCCGAGACAGAAGGGAAGCCTGAGGCAAGCTGTGAAACACTCGAGGAACGCAGAGCCCCTCCCCAACGAAAAGGGTTCCTTGTTCAGGGCCGGAGGCGAGGCACGAGGCCTAATGGAGGGGCCCTGGGACACACAGATAAATACACACAAATAAAGATATTCCCCATATTTTCCAATGTTTTCTGGGTTTTTGTCTTCCCCACCACTTCCCATATCTTCCCATATTTTCTGGGGGATCGACGACTAATTGTGCCTGTGTGTTTTTTCCCTCCTGACTTAAGTCCCTCTACAGGGGAATCTCAAAGAAAAACCGTCCAAAAAAATGAGGGGACGATTTCGGGAACATGTTTTGACCATTTGGGGGGAGGTTCTGGGAATTCCCAATGTTTCCTCCAAAGCCCCCCTGTAGGGGGACGGGCCAGACCTAACACGAGGCCCAAGTCGGGCCTGACCCTCTACAGGGGGAATATTGAACAATTCGGCGGTGGAAAAGCCTCCCTTTAGCAAACCTCCCTTTAGTGAAAGCGGCCTGGGACCGAAACCGAGGGACCTGGACCCAGAAAAAGGACGGCCGCGACGCCCTCTCGCGAACCGAAAACGGCCAATTCGCTAATCGACGTGTCAGGATAGGAGGTCTGTCCACCCCCGAAAAAATAGTCCAAAAACAATCGGGGGACGATTTTTGGAGCATTTTTTGACCATGTGGGGGAATCTTCTGGAGAATTTCCATGTTTCGTCCAAAATCCCCCTGCAGGGGGACAGGCCCGACCGAACGCGAGGCCAGCGGCGGCGCCCCAGCGCCGCGGCCCTCAGAGCCCCTGGGCCAGGCCGCTCAGCGCGCAGGCCGCGCCGGCCAGCAGGGCGCACGCGGCGGAGAGCCCGTGCGGGGTGGCCCCGTCGAGCACCCCGTCGCCGGGCGCCGGCGTGGGCACGAGCGGCGGGGGTGGCACGGGCGTGGGGGCCGCGGGCGCCGCGGTCGGGCTGGTGGCCGGGGTGGGAGGGGCGTAGGGGCGGCAGGCGCAGCACATGGCCATGGAGCTGGTGCGAAGAAGGAAGGGCGGCGCGGGGCATGAGCTTTTGCTGCGGAGGCCCGCGCGGGTCCCTTGCCCGGATCGGCGCCTGGGCCGCCCCAGGGAGCAAGGGGAAGCCAGCCTCAGAGCAGGATGGGCCTGTTTCCCACCACCACCACCATAAGTTGGAGGGGGAGGAGGAGGAGGAGGAGGAGGAGGAGGAGGAGGAGGGAGGAGGAGGAGGAGGAGGAGGAGGAGGAGGGGAGGAGGAGGGGAGGGGGAGGAAGGGGGGGAGGGGGAGGAGGAGGAGGAGGAGGAGGAGAGGAGGAGGAGGAGGAGGAGGAGGAGGAGGAGAGGAGAGGAGGAGGAGGAGGAGGGGGGAGGAGGAGGGAGGAGGAGGAGGAAGGAGGAGGAGGAGGAGGAGGAGAGGAGGAAGGAGGAGGAGGAGGAGAGGAGGAGGAGGAGGAGGAGGAGGAGGAGGAGGAGGAGGAGGAGGAGGAGGAGGAGGAGGAGGAGGAGGAGGGGGAGGAGGAAGGCCCCCTCCCCCTCCACCTTATGGTGGTGGTGAAACCAGGCCCATCAGAGCAGGCGCCCCGACCGGCGGAGCCGTTGGGTGAACGCACGCGGGGCAGGAATCGAGCAGGGCAGGGCCGTTCTCTGAGACGGAGCCAGGACGAACAGGACGAACAGGACGAACAGGGCGAACAGGGCGAGCAGGGATCGAACAGGGCGAACAGGGATCGAACAGGGCGAACAGGGATCGAACAGGGCGAACAGGGATCGAACAGGGATCGAACAGGGATCGAACAGGGCGAACAGGGCGAACAGGGACGAACAGGGCGAACAGGACGAGGAACAGACTCGGGCGAGGATACCGTCGGGGCGTTGACCTGAGGAACCCTAGATAAGGAATGAGGCCCCTTTTTTTCCATAAGTGAACCCTTCGATTCCCTGCCGAAGACACCAGGAAAGCCCGAGGCAAGCTGTGAAACACTTAAGGAATGCGGAGCCCCTCCCCAACGAAAAGGGTTCCTTCTTCAGGGCCCCGACTGTACCTCGACAAATCTCTGGACGCTCTGAGAGCGTTCCGGAACGCTCCAGAACGGGTCCATCCTCGTCCTATAGAGCCGCCCGACGTTTCGTGGACCTCCAGGCCCGCTCAGCACGTGCCAATGATGGGGGTCGGGTTGGCTTTTGCGCCCTTGACCCCTGGAGCGCGCCAGGGGTGCCGCCGCAGGTGCCGCCAGGGGGGGGGGATCCAGCGCCGATCCAAGAGACAAGAGATCCGAACGAACAGTCAAAAGCTTATGTTTACGCAGACGTTTCTTCTTCGAGCTGAAGTCGTCATCGTCGAACTCGCCGCAGAAGTGCACCGGGTCCATGGCGTAGACCGAGCAGGCGTCCCCGGTGCTGTCTCTGTTGGCGCCGTCGGTGTCGACGCATCCGGGCTCGGGCGGCAGTATGGGCTCCTCAGTGGCGGGCGTCCAGTCTGGCTCCATGTCGCTGCCTCCTCCGCAAATGCAACACAGGTTGTCAGAACTGAAATCGGCGTCGTCGTAGATCCCGCAGAAGTCTGGGTTGCGGCGGTACGTGTCGCAACCATCTTCGAACGGGTCTTTGAGCCCAACGTCAGTATTGTAGCAAGACCGGTACACCTGCACTTCATCTGGCGCAGTGATCGCAAAGCTCGCTACGTCCATCGTCAACCCTGACTCATTGAAGGTTTGGGCAAGATCGGCGCGGGTACCCTCCACGTTCGTGGAGAGTTGGTGCGCAATCGACAAATGGGCCGATGCGTCCGACTCGCTCTCTAGAAGGAGATCGTAATCCACGTGCCACTGGGTCGACGCCGCAACGTTCCTCCGGCTGGCAGAAGCAGTGGCAGTAACGCTGTCTGGGGCGACGCCGTGCTTACTGGTCACGAAAGAAGTAACCGAGGACTCCACCTCATCTGATGTGCCCGTGCTGGAAACAGACATACCCACACGCACCAAGTACTTCACCGTGGTTGTGGTGGCTGTGAGCGTAGTCCATACCCTCGTCGGTGACGGCGTCGGTGCCGCCGTCGGTGTAGCAGTCGGCACGGCGGTCGGCGCAGCTGTCGGCCCGGGTGTTGGCGAGCTGGTCGGCGAGCTGGTCGGCGAGCTGGTCGGCAGGGCAGTCGGTGTGGCGGTGGGTGCATCGGTCGGCGGCGCGGGAGTCGCGCCTGGCGGCGCGGGAGTCGGGGAGCTGGTCGGCAGAGCAGTCGGTGCGCTGGTCGGGGCGGCGGTCGGTGCAGCGGTCGGCGCGCCGGTCGGTGCGGCGGTCGGTGCAGCGGTCGGCGCGGCGGTCGGTGCGGCGGTCGGTGCATCTGTCGGCACGGGGGTTGGCGAGCTGGTCGGCACACGAGTCGGCGAGCTGGTCGGCAGAGCGGTCGGTGCGGCGGTCGGTGCCGTCGGCGCGGGAGTTTCGCCCGTCGGCGCGGGGGTCGGTGGGCGCGTCGGTGCGGCGGTCGGTGCAGCGGTCGGCGCGGCGGTCGGTGCGGCGGTCGGTGCATCTGTCGGCACGGGGGTTGGCGAGCTGGTCGGCACACGAGTCGGCGAGCTGGTCGGCAGAGCGGTCGGTGCGGCGGTCGGTGCCGTCGGCGCGGGAGTTTCGCCCGTCGGCGCGGGGGTCGGTGGGCGCGTCGGTGCGGCGGTCGGTGCAGCGGTCGGCGCGCTGGTCGGTGCGGCGGTCGGTACAGCGGTCGGCACGGAAGTTGGTGAACTGGTCGGCGCACGAGTCGGCGAGCTGGTCGGCAGAGCGGTCGGTGCGCTGGTCGGTGCGGCGGTCGGTACAGCGGTTGGCGCGCTGGACGGAGCGGCGGTCGGTGCGCTGGTCGGCACGGAAGTTGGTGAACTGGTCGGCGCACGAGTCGGCGAGCTGGTCGGCATAGCAGTCGGTGCGCTGGTCGGTGCGGCGGTCGGTGCAGCAGTCGGCGCCTTGGTCGGTGCAGCAGTCGGCGCGCTGGTCGGTGTGGCGGTCGCTGCAGCGGGTGGGGACGGAGTCGACGCGCATCCGCTGGACAACCGGCGCTTCGGAGAGTCGGCGCACGTTCCATCGTAGCAATACTTGTTGATGCCGCACTCGTTCTCGAAAGGGTTGGCGGTCGCATCGCACTGGCACGGCACTCGGATCTTCCAGGTGCCATCCGGGTCATCGCGGCATGGGCAGTTCTTACCTCGGCCGTGGCAGGGCAGGGTGTAGGTGCTGTAACCCTCGCTCGGGTCCTTGTACACCACGTCAGTCCCAGATATCTCAGAAGAGTAAAGCTGGCAGCTGCCGGTCCTCTCGACGAAGACGAACGTGTGGCAGCCAGGGTCTGTCTTGCACGTCTTGTAGCAAGTGCTTCGGGTGAACCCGCTGTCTCCGCTGCGCTCCCGAGCAGGGACATTCACCCCGTGGAAGCCCACGTCAGCGTCCTGATAGTACTCAGCGTCGAGGAAGTCGAAACCAGCAGCGTATGCATCGCAGATGTAAGTGTCGTAGCCTGGTACAACCGCCAAATCCTCCACCAAGTTCTTGTTCGACCAAAGCTCGCAGAACCCCACGTCCGCCCTGTGAATGAAGCTGTGGCACTGCCAGTCGTTCGCGCACTGCATGTTGCACTGAATCAGAGATACGCCCTGGAGGAAGACTGCCACGTCTGCGTGGCCGAGGAAGCCGCGGTTGGCGAACCCCACGCACCCGCTGTATTCTGTTTCGGTTGAATGAGGGTTGGGGTCCGCTGGAGCGCCTGTCGTCACTGGAAGGGCGATCGTGACCACATCAGGGTGCTTGCACTCGCCAGCGCTGCACGTGCCCGCAAAACCAGTCCCCTGGCAAGGCGTTCCGTCGGGGACATTGTTGATGGGATGGCCGTTCACTTCCCAACTGCTGAGGCTCAAGCACGTGCCGTCTCCCGCCTGGGTGCACTTGATCTTACAACCGTTCGCCTCGAGCCCACAGTAGCTGTCGAAAAAGCTGTTGTCCTGGCAGACGTGCTGGGTGACGCATACGCCCTCGTTGCAATAGCCGTCTGCGTCGCCAAGCGTGCACGCGAAGCCAACCGGCTGGAACATGCCCGCCGGGCTGCAGCAGCCACCGTGGCCGAGGGCGCCGTACGAGCACTCCATCGGCGTCGCGAGCGCACCGACTTGCAGCTGCACCTGGCAGCCGCAGCACCCCGAGCAAGCCTGCGATCCATCACTGCACTCGCAGCCCTCACCTGGCTCTGTAATTCGGTTGCCGCACTCGGCTTCGAAAACCGAGAACCCCGAACAACTGTTGACTTGGGAAGCGATCTGACCGCAAATCTCAGATTTGCGGAGGTCGTTGAACCGATACACGCCATTTAGACTGCCGTCGCCATAATCCATGATGCCACCTGTTTTGCCCTGGCCGTACTCGAACGAATGCTGGGCTCCGAAGTTGTGTCCCAGCTCATGTGCCATGATGTGCCAAGTGGGATACGCATAATTTCCTCTGCTCAGCCACGTGACTCCTGTGTTGTACCCCCAATCGTAGCACAACACCCCTATCCACGCCAGGCCGATGAAGCCAGAATTCGCGTAGCAATTGTCGAACAGATGCCACACGCCCATCGTGGAGTCTGGATTAGCTGCAGAACTCTCCCAAGCGACCAGCGCCCACAACTGGTCAGTAATTGACTTCGGGCATGTGCTACCTTGGTCCCAGCTTGGGGCGCCGTCGTGGGTCTGCTGAATGACAAGACTGCCCATCTGGAGGTGAATATTGAGCTGGGGTTCGTACGCCATGTTCGCGTTGGCGACCATAGCGTGGACCCAGTCCTCTGCCTCTTGGTCAGTCTGAAAATTCTCGTCTCGCCACACGTTGGACGTGATAACTGCGCCGAATTTGAAGGTACGCATCGTCTCCTCTCCAGGATAACAATTCGTCCACTGGTCGATCGCCTCGGGATTGAGGATCGACAAGCGCCTGTCCACGTCGGCCTGCTCCAGCGAGCCGTTCGGGCGCAGGCTGCCCACGCCGGAGTCCGCGGACGGCTTGGCCTCGTCGGGGTCGAAGCGCGTCACCTCGAGAGCGGCGCTGCTGTGCTGGTGCCGAATGTCGAATATCACGGGTCCAACGAAGATGGTGCCCGTGAAGCTCTGCCCCACCGCGGTCAGCACCGCGTCGCGGCCGGGGCTCCTGAAGGTGACCGGCCGGCCGAGGGCACGCTCCGTCTTCTGGCCGCCCTCGCCGTGCACCACGACCTTGCCGCCAGAGGACGACGTGGCCTGGCGGTACAGCTTGTACTTGAAGGCCTCGGGGATGGACAGACCCCCCTTTAGTAAAACGTGGTTTAGCGAAAACGCCCTCGGGCCTAAACCTGGCGGGCGCAAGCCTGGAAAATAACGGCCGCGGCGCCCTCTCGAGAACCGAAAACGGACAATTCACTAATCGAGGTGTCACTATTGGGGGTTCTGTCCATCCCCGAAGGCCCTGTTGTGCGACTGGAAGGCGAGCACCAACACGCTGCCCGACGGACGGTACCCCTCGTCAAGCGCGTCGTGGGCCGCGGCCGCAGAGAGAACGTCCCGCCCGTCCTCGTCCACGAGGCTGAAGCCCGTTGCGACCTCGGAGCGTCCGGCTGCACGCGCTGCCAAGCAGAGCCACGCCACCAGCTGCGAGAGGAATGGGGTCATCGGTGGCAGCGCGCGATCCGGCCACCGCGGGTTGAAGCGGGCGCAGCAGCGTTGACGCCTGCGGCCGCTCTGGCCGAGCCTGAGCCTCGAGCTAACGTGGGGGCGCCGTCCGCTCCTCCGGAGCTCGGGCCCCCGGGGGCGCTCGAAGAACCCAGGCAGCGGGGTCGACACTTGCAAGACTTCGCCACGCCAGTGCTCTGGGGCCGAAGACCTCCTGGAGCATTACTGGGCCAGGCCAGCAATCGAAGGAGAGAGGCAGGATTCGAATCGGGGAACTGGGTCGGATCGGCATGAGCGTCGGATCAGTCTGCATCGGCACTAAGTCGAAATCGAATTGGATCGGCCGCGCCAGGATGCACAACAACGCCATGTAAGCATTGGGCTGCATCGGATCGCCGGAACGTCGGGACCGAATCGGATCGAGGATTCCAGACGCGATGCCGAATCGGGTCTATCGGATCAAGATAGACCCTGAAGGGGGGGATGCGTGGAAAAAGGGCCCCCCCTCGACCAGACCGAGGAGGAGAGCCCGAGGGCAATCCGCGCGGGCAAGCCCAGACAGCCTCGTCTGTATGTGCGGGTGGTCGAAGGGGTGGGTAGGGACGGGCTGGCTCATATCGGATGTTGCTAGAAGTACCCCTGGCCCAAGGAAACCCCAGGATTCTCGGAGTGGCCCAGATGGCCTCCAGGGTACGCCTCACGAGGCCCAAAGAGGGCCCCAGGGGCTCCAGAATGGAGCGAAAAGCTGGGGGGTACCTTGGGCCAGGGGCACTTCTAGCAACACCCGATCATAAGTCGGCTACACGCAGGAGTGACCCTGGGTAAGAGTGACCTGTGGTGCGCGGCTTTTGGGGGGCCGCGGGGGGACCCTCGTCCTCCTCCTCCTTCCTCACCCTCGTCATCTTCTTCCTCGTCCGCCACCCCCTTCTGATTGCGCCAGACACGATCCGGTGTTTTGGGAGTTCCACGTCCGCCAAGACACCCATCGCCAAGGCAGCGGGAAGGGATGGGTGGAAGGCGTCGGATGTCGGATGTGGCGCCGAGGAGCGGCAGGAACAGGAGTGAGAGGAGCGGCAAGAGGAGGAGGAGGAGGAGGAGGATTAGGAGGAGGAGGGGGATAAGGAGGAAAAGTGGAGGGAGGAATTTCCGCCCCTCTCTCCCCACCCCCCTCTCGCCCTCCTGCTCCTGCTCCCATCCCCTGGCCTCCTCCGCTCCCTATGTTCGCCCTCTGCCACCCTGTATACATCACAGGTCGCACCCGTTCACCCGATCCTCATCGGCCTAACCCCGATCCTCCTCCTCCTCCTGCTCCTCCTCCTCCTCCTCCTTCCTCCCTCCTCCTCCTACTCCTCCTCCGTGCACACATGCGTCGGTCATGCGACTCAAGCATCACGGCCCGCTCACCAGTGCGACTGCCGCCACAACTCCGACATGCAGTCGGGACGGAAGTCGGGCGCCGCACACCACCTCGGCACGCGAGACCCCCCACCTGGCCCGACCGAGACGATCGCGGGGAACTTCTGTGCCCTGATGGGACTTGCCGTCGGGACAGAAGTCGGGTGTCGCACACCACCTCGACACGCGAGACCCCCCACCCAGCCCGACCGAGAAGATCGCGGGGAACTTCTGTGCCCTGATGGGGAACTTCGCGTTCACTGGGGAGAAGCACAGCGCCACGTGCAGGTTGTCCCGCAGCCTGTCCTGGCATTGCTCTTTCGCACGACTGCCTCGCATCTGCCCTGTTGTGAGAGCGTCGCTGCTCCACACTGCCTGTAGCTCAGGCTGCAACTCCTGTTGCTAAGCAGTGTTAGCCCAACCTGGTGCAACTACACTTAAGTCGGGCGTGTCCCTCTGCAGGAGGAATATTCAAAGACAGTCAAGTCAAACAAATTGGGGACGACTGTTCGATTATTGCTTGTCAATTTTGTATTTGGTTTGACCAGTTGTCGCTTCTCCTTCGAAAGCCGCGCGTAGGAGGACATTCCCTATCTAAAACTACAGCCATCGTGCCACCATGCATGACGAGCGCTCAATTAGGAACGAAGAGGCTCTCGTTGCCACGGCGAGCATCGGCCTCGAGGTCAGTTCCACGCCCTAGACCTTAGGGACGGCCAGGGAGCCAGATCCTCTCCTGGGCACTATGTGGCCTCACTTCAGCGTCTTGGCCGTACGCCCCCGGGAGTCAACCCATAGATGTAGGTGCTCTGGCATGCCGTTGTTCACCGAAGAAATGTCCGGCGATCGAAGGCGCGCCGTAGCCGTGCTTGTGGCAGCTCGGCGGCCAGGAGTGAACACAGGGTGTCCTCGCCTGGCAGCACTGGCGCCCACTGGCTCTGTGCAACTCGCGGGCGACTTTGCCGTGCGCGCCCTGCCACCCACTGGTCAATGCGTCCCTGATGGCTTACAGTGGACGCTTGCGGTAAGACGCCTCGCTATAAGAGGTCGTGGGGGCGCACATTCTTCGTCGATCACTGAAGGCCCTGAGATGCCCCAGATCTTCTGTGGCTCCTTGGGGCCACCGGGTGATGAGAAATTCCCGCGGGGCACATGCTGACGGGCCAATGTCTTACCTGGAACAAATTTGGCATGGAAGAATCTGCGAAACGGGACGGATGAGGCGGGGAGAGTAGGGCGGAGGAAACTGGCAGGGGGCAGGAGAGAGGAAATGGGGAGGGATGTAGGGAGGGAGGGGGTAGCAGGGAGAAAACGAGAATGAGGAAATGGACTAGCACGAGGAGGAAACGTCAACACAGCATGATAACCGCGTCACCTGGCCAGCAGGAAACCCGGGTACCATCCGAACGCAAGGAGAACTTGCGCTTCGCAAGTATAGAATCTTGCCACAGGGACGATCCGAGCTCGAATGAACATTCCCCCATAATCTGCAGACGCACTTCCAGACGGCCCTCTTCTAGCCGAAAGCAATGTGGGGATTCAGCCTGTTCATCCCATAGTCTGCAGACGCACTTAGCGTGTTCATCGGCCCTGTGTGCATTACCTTGCTCCGAATAGGAGCACAACTGTTCCAGCCATGCTTGCACCAAAACTTGAATGGTCTCGTGTCGATGCCGTCCCATCCCGTCCTCTGGGAGAGTGCACGCCCACGCCACTACACATTACGTCACACGTGTGGTGCCCATCGCAAACGATGCATCACCAGCGGAATGCATGGGTAATGCTACATGTGCGCGCACATTGGACTATCGCTGCAATTGTGAGCATGTGATGTGCACTGGCTCGCGTCGAACGAACCGCCACGTAGTCTCAACAATGGCCTCAGGAGATATGGGCAACGCGCTAGACAAATATGCATTCATGCATGTAAATATATGTATATATAATCTGACAGAACATGCCGTACATTATCGTGCATGTACATACACATGAAAGGCCGTGCCACTGCGAAGGGCTTACATGCCTGCGATCGAACAGAGCGTGGGCGAGCACGACGGCGGAGGTCCATGAAGTACTGATACATGTTCAACAAGTTCTCCTCGACTGAGGGGTTGTCCTTGACAAAGTCGTTCCTCACCTAGCACGCGCAACGCGCACACACGCACACGCACATCCCGCGGAACCTCTCGAATCACTTCGAATTTGCTTCTACAGTTGCCCAAACGCTTGCTCCCCGAGCACCTGTTTCCCTGCCCCCCTGCATCTGATGCGCGGGGCAAACATGTGAAATACAGACGGTGCCACCCTCAGGCTGGTGAGCAGGTTGGCAAGGGGGCGGGGCGCAACGTCCTGTTTGAGATTGGCGCCGCTCGGAATCGCAGTAGATTTATCCGGTGATGGCGACATCTGTCCAACGATCCTCTATCTCCCCGTATCTCACTATCTATCCATCACCTTACTACTACATGGTCGATGGAATCCCGTGCGCGCCGATGTCAATATGAATGAACATTTCCCTTAAAACTTTGGCACTCGTTTGTCGCTTGTCACAAGAAGCTGGGCCTGCTGGTCGGTTTGGCTCTCTGGTCGCCGTCGCCGCCCCGTCGCCGTCCATCGATTGAGCCTCCGGGTTGGTCTGACGGTTCCGTGGTCGCCGTCGCCGCCCCGTCGCTAGCCAGCGTCAGGGCCTGCGCATTACCCCACATTGCTTGGCATCGCTCTGCATTGCTTTGCATGTTTGGACTGCACAACGTAATTTGCACCACATGGGCTGCACCATATAGACAGCACCACAAGGGTTGTACGACCCAGATTGCGCCACATTGATTGCACCGCGTTTACAAGAAATCCACCGGCCCAAGCTTGCCGGGGGCTAGCAGGCGTGTGAGATGATTGGTTATCCCCGGCTCCTTTTCGACCTCCCCGAGGGTCCAACATCTCATTTAAAGGGGGCGGGTCTGTGCACGACGGACTCCGGAATTTCCAAGTCTGCCTTCCGTGGCCTAAAGAACGCCCCAAGACGGTCCTGAATCACTGAAATATTGGACCTAGACGCCTGCGATGGCTCCAAAACGCCCAAAGACGTTTTCGAGACGCCCCAAGAAAAATCCAACAGCCTTCCCAGGACGGCCCCGAGAGACAAAAACCAATGCCGTTTCTGTGATTGTTTGATTGGTTCTGGGTTTTCCGTGTTCTCGAGTTTCCGGCCCTGAAAACCGACAGGCCGCCCAAACACTGCCCAAAAGGCCCCTGCGACGGCCCCAGGACGGCCCAAAAAAGTTCCATGACGGTCCAAACAGGGCCCAACACGGCCAAACATCGCCCCAATACGGCCCCACTTGAGGCCTAGAGGGAGAACGCAAATCAAACATCAAATATTCCCGGCCCAAAAGGAATCCCGAAAGCCCGAAGAATCCCCCCAGCGGCCCAAAAACGGCCCCCTGCACACACACACACATGTATGTATGTATGTACGTATGGATGTACGTGTATTTGTGTGTATATATATATATATATATATATAACAAGAAAGGGTCGCACGGGCATTCATTGTCCTAAGGTGCATACCCCGCCTTTGCGGAAGGGCGGACGCGGGTTGGGTCGCCAGTGTGTCACGAACGTGCCGCGGGCAGGTCGCAGGGCGGGTCGAAGGTGGGTTGCGGGTGGGTTGCGGCAGGGCCGCGTGCGAGTCGCGGGTGGGTCGCGGGTGATTCGCGGGCCGGGTCGTGGGTGGGGCGACGAAAACCAATAACAAACAACAAACAACAAACAACAAGAACCCGCGCCGCGGAAACCCACTCCAGCCACGCGCCCAGGGAAAGTGAATGACCGTTCGGCCCCCTTCTCTGAGATGTGTATGTATATGTATGTATACGTATGTACATATTCATATTTATAAGCGTCTACAATCATGTGTACGTATACGGTATGCATTTGATGTGTACATAATCGTGAAAGGAATCCGTACCTTTCCTATTTTAAATATGTCACACTATTCCGAGGTGACTATGCCTACAACTAGGCAGCGTTTTTGTTTACGCATGTAAAAATCGGAGTGAAGTGGCCGAGCGGTCATTCAACTTCCGTGTGCACGTGACTAAAGTGGGCTTCCACGGCGTGGATTTCTGCCGTTGCCCCCTAACTGCGAAACGATTAATCATTCGAGTTGGCCAACCTGAATGCGCTTCGGCGCTCTCGCTTAGACGCCGGCAGCCGTTGCTTTGCAAATTAAACCCACGCCCAAGCCTTTCTGGTATCAGCCACAACCGGCGCCCCAACAATAACAACAACGACAATGCTCCGGCTCGATACTTCCTCTTTTCTCACTCGGGGCCGGGGCCCTCGCTCGCCCCCCCAAGCCACCTTTTCAACAAAATCAGCGCCTCCGCCCGATACTTCTATGCTTTTGACCTCAAGACTGGCAGTCCCGCCTCAGGACCCCCTACAAACATCGACGTTCCCGTTCGATGCGTCCTCCGGTTCTAGTGAAAACTCCCACGAGGCCCTGAAGTTCCCCCCGTCCCTATCGAATCTTGAAAACTAAACACTTGCTATTGCTGGACACCCTGAATGCACTGTCGCGCTCTCGCGCCTCCTCCGCGCGACCTCGCTCTCGCTCGTGTCCTGGGGCGTGACGTCGTCACCGTCGTCGCCGCAGCAGCCGCCGCCGCCACCGCCCCTGCCGCCGCCGCCGTCGTCGTCGTCGTCGTCGTCGTCGTTGTCGTCGCCTTCGTTATCGTCGCTAGACAATTGTTAGTGTTGGGCACCCTGAGTGCGCTTTCGCGCTTTCGCGCCTCCTCCGAGCGACGTCGCTCGCGCTCGTGTCCTGGGGCGTGGCGTCGTCGCCGTCGTCGTCGTCGCCGCCGCCGCCGCCGTCGTCGTCGTCGCCGTGTTCTGGAGGCCGTCGGGTGCCTCGTGGCACTCTTGGAAACATTTCGGGCCAGAATTTTTGTTTGTAGGCGTGCGGGGAGGAGGAGAGGGACGACGACGACGACGACGACGACGAGCCCGTGCGCCATCAGAAACCGGCCGACGCAAAACCGGTCCCCAGGAAGGGGTCGAGCCTAGGGGCCAAAGCTTCGGAGATTCTCTCAGGGGCTCTGGGGGGCTCTTTACGAGGCTCCCCCAGAGGTTGTGAGGCCTCTCCCTGATGTCTTAGGCCACTGAGACGTCTGGATACCTAGAAGCAAGGCCTGGGCAAAGGAGATTGCGAACGTGATGTGCCATCCGGGCCGCAGATGTTGGAATACCTCGTAAGAGGTGTTGTCAAGACCTCTTCGGGCGGGAGGTCTGGGAGAAGGAATATCGGACCCCCGCGTGCAAGAGCAAAGCTACCATGAGGGGGAGCGATCATGATGGATGCATGCTGCATATGGAAGCATCGAGCACTCGGGTGACAAGATAATTGCTGTTGTGGTTGGTGCTGTTGTTGATGTTGATATGGTTGTTGCTGTTGATATTGTTGTTGTTGTCTTTGTTGTTGCTGCTGCTGATGTTTGTCGTTTGTGTTTTATTTGTTGTGTATTGTTTGTTGTCGTCGTCCCGCCCGCGGGCCAGCCCGCGACCCACCAGCGACCCACCTCTGACCCACCCGCGACCCACCCCGCGCCCGCACCCTCACTCTTGTCCGTAACTGCGGGGTACTACATTAGCTGAGAACGCGTATCGCAATACAAATATGTATTGGCCACCATGTTACTTAGTCTATATATGAAAGGCAAGATGTGCCGTTTGAACTTCAAGTGCATCGGCCTGGCTATTCACTGCTCTCGAAATCCATACACATCTATCGTTGTGCAAGTGTTTATCGACATTGCTGTCCATCAATCGACACAGGCATCGATCGGGCTCAATGTATACGTCGACATCTCTTTATGTGTAGCTCAAGGTTGCCATCTACGAGCCCAACTGTCAAACGACCGATCACTCTATCGATCTACAAGCTGGTCTGACTAGATGTCGGTCCTACGGTTTCCAGCCCAGCCTCGCCAACAACTCATCTGTGAAATGCTGGTCTCATTACCTGTCGGCATCGGGACCTGCCGGTCCCACGGTCTATCGATCACTCTCACGACCAATCCAAGGGAAACCAAGAGGTACCGATACCGCTACTCCCCAGGCCTCTCCAAGGTTGCGTTCTGACCAGGATTCCGAGACGATTCTAGCGGTGGCGGCGACGGACTCCCAGGAGGTCCAACAAGGGGAAAAACGAGGGACGAGTAGAGGTATGGGTACCTGTTCTTCCTCCGAGACCCATCGACCAATCGCACTATCAATTGATCTCTCTACCTCACTGGTTGTGTACAGTATAGGTATCACTGTGTACCTACCTTTCTGTAAGCAGGCCACCCAAAGGACAACCACAAGACAGGCGCAAGACAACCACAGGCAAACCCAGGACAATCACACGGGGCAGCCGCGTGACAAAAAAACAGTACAAACAGTGGACAACAACAAGACAACCGAGGGCAACCCAAAAAGGAACCACAGGACAACCACGGAACGACCACGGGACAAACACGGGACAACCGCGTGACAACCGCAAGGCGCCCACAGGACGACCACGGAACAACCACGGGGCAACCACGGCACAACCACGGAACTCGGGACAACCAGGGACAACCAAAGGCCCGCAGCCCGCCGCAGGGGAGCAATGCATGTTCGCACCTCTGCCTCGATGAGGCCCGGATGTTTCTCGCTCTTGCGCAGCTTCGCATCGCTTGCACGCGTGTCAAGCACAACACGACCCGAAATTGAAACAGACTCTCCGGTTAAAGGATTCTGCTACACTTCGATCACGCTCCAAACCTCAAACGTACGCTTGCAGGCTGCCGGCCGTTCGGGAGCATATGACCAGGATCGTGCGTATTGTGCGGGACATCGCAGACATGGCAAACAATCGCGCAACGCCTCGCCCACACAGCATGAGCAAACTTCTCGTTCTCCCCTTCGTCCTACAACCATCGGAAACAGATAGCGGCCAACGCCGTTGTGATGTTACGGTTGCTTCGTCTCCAGGGATAAAGGGGAGAATGAAGAGGATCAGAAGAACGGAAGCACAAAGAAGGCGCAGCAGGAACATGGTGAGGTACAGGTCGCGAAGAGGATGTGTGGCACATCGCCCTGCCGAGCGCGGGCTGCTTTCGGCCGGTGTTGCCCGTTCTCGTCAGGACCCGCGCCCTCCTCCTCCTCCTCCGCCTCCTCCTTCTCCTCCTCCGCCTCCTTCTCCTCCGCCTCCGCCTCCGCCTCCGCCTCCGCCTCCTCCTCCGCCTCCTCCGAGCCTCCTCCTCCTCTGCCTCCGCCTCCTCCTCCTCCTCCTCCTCCTCCTCCTCCTCCTCCTCCTCATACCACTCCTCCTCGTCCTCTTCCTCCTCCTCCTCCCCTCTCCTCCTCCTCGTCCTCTGGCTCATCTGGCCACTCTGGCACGCGGAGAAGGGCGGAGAAGCGTGGCAGCGGCGCCCCGCCTCTCCGCACATGGCGTCGCGCTCGTCCTGGGCGGCGTGCCGCGGCCCACGTCCCCGCGCGCTGCCGCGCGCTGCCGCGCGCTCGCACGGGGGGCCTTTTGGGAGCCCACAGCGCTGGGCGCTCCAGGGCAAATCAGTACTTGGAAGGGCACGCTCTCCTGCAAGCGCATTTTCGGGGATGGACAAACCTCCCTTTAGCAAAACGTGGTTTCGTGAAAACGACTTCGGGCCCAAACCTGGCGGGCGCAAGCCTGGAAAATAACGGCCACGGCGCCCTCTCGAAAACCGAAAACGGACAATTCACTAATCGACGTGTCACTGTTGGGGGTTCTGTCCACCCCCGAGTTTTTGGGAAAAAGAATCTGTCAGATAGTACAAAAAACTCTCAACACACAAAAGTAAAATCTCAGAAGAGCACGGGAAAACGTCACGTGACGATCTCTTTTCGATTCTCGCAATATTCCTCCTGTAGAGGGACATTCCTGGCTTAATACTAGTACTATGTTCGGCGGCGAGCGAGGGGGGGAAGTGTGCAGGAAAGGCCCTCTCAGAAGGCGGCGGCGGAGCTTCTCAAAAGGCCTCCAGCCTTCTGAAAAGTTTTCTGCGTCTCCAGCGTCCTCGGGACATGCTCAGAACACTTCTGGGAAGGCCAGGGGGACTTCCGAGCCGTCTGAGAAGGCCCGCTTCTTCTCACGTCCAGCGTGTGCTCGCCGCAGAGGTGTGTTCTAGGAGGCATGCGCCCCAACCGAACACATTTTTTGATCTGTGGGGCGAGAGCGAACCTCTTCCGCTAAAAGCTAGGCGGGCTACACACAACTTTAATCAGGGCGACAGGGCACAGGAAGGCGGGGCCTCAGGCGGCCGGAGCGGGCGGGGCCCGGGGTGCAGGCGGTGCCGAAGTGGACGTGCAGGAAAAGGTACGCCGCGTACAGGGACCGAGGGCGAAGACCCATACCCCAACCGAACACATAGCACAAACAGATGCGACCAGCCATAACTGGGGGAGCTGTGGTCCTCACCCCCCTGGGGGAACCCATCGCATCGACGATCTCTCGAGAGGGGTGTCGAAATTGATGGGTCCCCCAGGGGGGGGTAAGGACCACAGCTCCCCCAATTGTGGCTGGCCTGCAGATTGCAGCAGGTCGCTCCGCGGGCGGCATGGCCCGCGAGCACCCTCCACGGAACCAGCACCGTAAGATTTCTCGTCGTGCGCCGTCGCCCCTGGAGCGGCTACACGCAAGAGTGACCCTGGGCAAGAACGACCTTTGGTGTGCAGCTTTTTGGGGGGCGCGGGGGGGGGGGAGCAAACACAAGCGCGCAAGACGCTCCTAGCGCTTCGCGTTCGGCGATCGGGACCCCACTGGGCCAGCACCAAGGGTCACTCCGGCGAAAGGTCACTCTTATGTCTAGTCGACTGGGGGGAGGGGGGGAGCGACGCACACCCGGCCTCAGCAGGCCGGGGTGGCGCCGACGGCAAGCTCCTTTGGGGCGCCCACGGTCGGCACGGTCAACAAAAGCGCTCGCTCGGCGAGGGGGGGGGGCGACGCACACCCGGCCTCTGCATGCCGGGGTGACGCCGATGGCAAGCTCTTTGAAAGGGCCCTGGGACACACAAATAAAGACACACACATAAAAGGATTCCCCATACTTTCCCATATTTTCTGGGTCTTTGTCTTCCCCCCCACTTCCCATATTTCCCCATATTTTCTGGGAAAATCGACGATTCATTGTGTCTGTGTGTTTTTTTTCCCCTCCTGACTCCTTTGGGGCGCCCACGGTCGGCACGGTCAACAAACAACGCTCGCTCGGCGTGCCCCCGCGTCGGCCCCGGCGGCGCGCCGGGCCCTGCAGGCAGGCAGCGCGTCGCTCTCCGCCACCCCGGGGGGGCGGGAGGCCGGGAGGGGCTCGTGGCTCCCCCTCACTCTCCTCCTCCTCCTCCTCCTCCTCCTCCTCCTCCTCCTCCTCCTCCTCCTCCTCCTCGTCCTCGTCCTCCCCTCCTCCTCCTCCTCGTCCTCGTCCTCCTCCTCCTCCTCCTCCTCCTCCTCCTCCTCCTCCTCCTCCTCCTCCTCCTCTCCCTCCTCCTCCTCCTCCTCCCTCTCGGGGAGCGGGAGCTTGGCCGGCGTGTCGCGCCGAGGCGTGGTGGGCCAGAGCCGGCGGCGCGAGCACGCTGAGCCAGCGAGTCGCGGCCGACGTTCACGCCGCCTCCCAACACGCAAAGCGAGATCCCTCCGACGCAGTCACTGCACCTGCCGTTGAGTCGGGCGTGCCCCCCTACAGTGGGATTTTGGGCGAAAAATTAAAAATACTCAAAAACTACCTCCCAAATGAACAAAAATAGCCAAAGTCCCCATACAAATTTTCTACTGTTTTTTCATGTTCCTCCTGTAGAGGGACGGGCCCGACTTAAACCTACTGTTCCCTTGGATGTGAGGCCTTGCGAGCAGGTCCCCCGCAAGGCAGGGCCACCATGCTGGATTAGACGCTGGATGCGGCAGAACAGAAGTTGCTCAAGACCGAACCGACTCGCAGGTACGAGGCAGCCCACTGGCCGATGAGCTTTGCGAAAAAGCGGTGCGGCACAGCATCAGCATGAGGCAGTTCTGACAGCTGTATGCTGACAGCTGTATGTTTCGCGATGATACTTGCCAGACGCATGTGTGTGACAGAGCTGGCGGGCGCCCGAACGAAATCAGACCGGCTCTGCACACATGCAGTGGCCCCTGAGCGTCGCAAGCAACACGAAATTCCGAAACGTCGTAAACCACAGCACCTGGCTCAATGCGTGATTGCTCGGTGGGATAGTGCCAAAGTGTCAAAATCAGGGAATTCAATGCTGTCCTTAGCAAAAAGGCCGACGACTTCACCCGTGGCGAGGAGCGAGTTCATGTACTCCAGGAAGCCCTCGCTTTTTACCTGGCAGGCATCAGTCTACTCAGGCACGACAATTGCAATATTATGTTACTGCGGTCATCCCTGGTTGATTATGATTGGCTCTGGTCCCTCATTCTCCTCCTCTCTCTCGCCCTCCTCCTCCTTGACGGGCGACACAAGGCCACAAGACCCTGGATGTAGATACCGGATGCACATGCAAGCACTGGGAAATGGAGAATCCAGCTTTCGCGGACGAACCAGAAGTCACTGATGGGCATAGGCGGCATAGGTGACTCGGATAAGACACGCGATCTACCAGACGCGGGCCACGCCCGCAACACGCTAATTACCGAGCAGGGCTGAAAATTTGGGAGTACACGCTGAACTGCGGTGAATTCGTGACGAGATGACCTACGCGTCGGTGTCTGACTCCGCGTGGATTGTTCAACCTTGAGCACCCACGGCTTTCCGACAGCACCGATTGCTCGATATCGGCCGAGTCTGGGCCAGGCTACCGGCGGGGGTTCAACTTTGAACGCCTGCGCTGGTGTCGTCACCACGTGAAAGCGCCACAAACCTGCCGTACGCCATGTACAAGAAAGAATGTACAAAACCTAGAGCGCAGCTGAACCCCCGTAGCTTTGCCACGGCCTTGCTTGCTGCCCACGGCAATTGGCGCTCGCTTCCTCTTATCAACCGGAACTCACTCGCGAGGTATTTGCATCCCCCACCGCCCAACGCCGCTTACACACTCCCGGACCAACTCATCGGAGTGTGCGCGCGCGAGGCTTAGCAAGACTCTTGCAGAGTCCACACCGTCGGAGCGATCTCAACGACCCCCAAGCTCTGAAAGGAAGCCACCTCAAGTTACCAGCCCGACTGGAGCGCTGCGAGGTCGTCGGGCGGGGTGCTTCAAGGTCGACAGCCTACGGAAGATCATTGATCCTTTCCCCGCCAGGGGGGACCTGGGCTCTCCCAGGGTGTGTGTGTGTGTGTGTGTGTGTGTGTGTGCCCTCCCCTCAGCTCCAGACTAGCACGTGGGCCACCTCTCCTAGCTTCGTTCTCCTCCCTCCTCCCCCCCCTCCTCCCTCGCCGTCGTCGCCGCCGCCCCGCGAAGACGACCCAGGAGGACTCCAAGACAGCCCAAGAGGATCCCAAGAGGCAAATTTCATTGATGCCCCTAGTTTCTTGGACGAGTCGAGCGTTCTCGCCTTTTCGGTCTTTCGACGCTCCAGGACAGTCCAAGAGGCCCACAATATCGCCACGAGATGGCCTGAGGGGTCCAGAGACGGCCCAATAGTGCCCCAAGAAGGCCAAAGAGGCCGTCAAGATGGCCCACGAGGGTCCCACGATGAGCCAACGAGGGTTTGTTTTCTTTGGCCGCCCTGCCTCCTCCTCCTTGTGGTCTCGATAGGCGCTCGGTCTTTGTCTATTGCTTCCACCCTGCGGCTTCTTGTCCCGGAGTGGCGGTTGGGGGGCCCATAGGTCCGGCTGGCAACCCCAACAACAACGATGAGCCCAAGAGGGGGACCACGAACCAACATGTCGAGCTCCCTACCCCAAGAGGACCTCGAGACCGCCAGCAGGCCTCCGAGAGGCCCCGAAGAGGCCCAGAGAGACACGACCAGAAGAAGCGCTCAGGAGCCCCCAGGAGGCCTCCGAAAACCTTCGAGCGCATTTTTTGAAATTCGTGGTCTTAAAGAGCGCTATGGTGGCGAGGGGGGTGGGGGGGGGAGGGAACGGGATGGGGGCATGACGTAGCGCCCCCCCCCCCCCCCCCCCAGACAGTCGTGCTGGACGCACTGCGGCAGTGCCGGGAATGCGCTGAGGGTGGGAGCATTACGTTATGGGGGGGGGCAGGGTAGGGGGCATAACTCGGCTACACGCAGGAGTGACCCTGGGTAAGAGTGACCTTTGTTGCGCGGCTTTTTGTGGGCCGCGGGGGGACCCAACCTGGGCGCGCAAGCCGCTGCTCCTGCTTCGTTCTCAGCCATCTGGGGACCCATCTGTGCCCGCACCAAAGGTCACTCCGGCGGAAGGTCACTCTTACGTCTAGTCGAATAACGCGCGTTATGGCCCAGAGGGTGACAAGAAACACTCCCCTCTGAGAGGCCCCCGATGGGAGCACTACAGGAGGCCTCCGAGGGGCACCAAGGAGAGACCTCTTGTGCATTCAAGAGGCCTCGGGTCCGCGCCCCTGGGCCGAGAGCCGCGGGAATGCCTATGGATGCAGCTGGCACGGCGTTCTGTGTCTTCCCCAGTCTCGAGGTGCTCCTTAGTGGGCCCTGGAAACGACAAGGCCGTTTTTGTTACCGGTTCCGTTTTGCCGTTTTTTCCCGGATTCTGACGCCGTTTTTTTACTGGTTCTGTCGCCGTTCTTTTACGGGCTCCCGCTCCAGTTCCAATCCTGGAGCTGTGTTTGTTGCCGTTTCCGGTCGCCGTTTTTTTGCCGTTTCCATTTTCAAGGGACACTTTTTCGGAAACGGTGAAAAAACGGCCCTGCCGTTTCCAGGGCCCACTCAGGCCATTCCGAGACAAACCGTCGCCTGCCTTCTCGGGGGCGGCCAAGAGGGGGGCGTCCAAGAGGGGGGGGGCGCCAATCATGGCCAGCGGCACGTGCGCGGCCCAGAGGGGTGGCCAGGGACGTGTTGAAGCAAGAAGAGGCGCCATGAAGTCTGGGGAAATATCATGGCCCAGGCCATGAGATCCCCCCCCCTAGTCATCACCCCCCCGACCTTCGTTCGCTTCTCGGCTCCCTCGCGGCCCTGCCGGGGCCTCCTGATCCCCCCTTCAGGGTCGGCGGAGCGGGCCGTCAGGCCTCTCCAGCAGCAGGAGTGTGCGAGCGACACCGACTCGGCCACCCTGGCGTCGGACCAGAGCCCCCTTCTTACGCGCTTCTCCCGGCCGCGACTCGCTGCCCTGGACCGCACAACCATCGATACGAGACCTTCACGGCCTCGTGCCCCTCACGAAGGCTCCGCAGCAAACGCACAGGTACTGTGAAACAGACCGGGCCCCCAGCGTCGCTGCTGCAGCGGCGCCTCTGCGTCTGTGAACACGAACGTCACGTTCTCCCCCTTGACCTGTGGAGCGGGCGGAGAGGGGCGTCACACGGGCACGGACACGGACGCAGACCCAGACACAGACAGCCAAGCGCACTCTCTCTCTCACTGTCTCTCTCTCTCTCTCACGCGCGCACGCACGCACGCACCTGTTCCTCCAACGCCGCAAAGGTAAAGCAACCACGGGTCAAGCAACGGAAGGCCACGCTAAACCTAGACGCACACACAAACACGCACACATACACACACACGCACACACACACACACACACACACACACACACACACACGCACGCACACGCGCTTTGCTCTCGCGCCGTGCGCAGGCGCGAACGCAAGCAACATGGTTTTCACTGAGAGGGACCTGTGCAACAGGGCCCGTCATACGCGCATCCACACGTGGACGAGCACAGCGAATAGGAGCGGATGCCTACAAACGGTGGTCTGGGAAGGAGACAGAGGAGCTCATGGTGAAAGCGGCCCCTGCCCCAGTCCCTTTGGAATCTGGCTCGGGGCGAGGCTCGATTGGCCAGTTGGGATGTACATGAGCCCTTCACCCAAAACGCGCGCCCTTATATGCCAAATCACAGGCGGTTTGCGAATGTCCTGGTATATGTATGACACCCATGCCGCCACCGATTCGACGAGCGTGTGCCCCCATACTCATCTCGACAATCGGCCTGGAGGTTGTGGAGGAGGAGGAGCGAGGGGGAGACTGAAGGGAAGGAAGAGTGCGGCGAGCAGGAAAACGGATGGGGAGAAGCACGACGCGGAGGAGAAGGGAGAGTGAGGATTAGTATAAGGAGGATGGGGAGGATAGGAAGGAACAGAGAACACCAAACATGCACCAACGGTGTTGCACTACGCCCACCCGACACCAAATAGTTCATGGGAAGTACCAGATCGAATGCATTTGCAGTGCGGGAAGTAACGCTTTCCAAGACACGCGGCCACTGTTCCTGTAATCCAGGCGAAAGCCCCGTTTCGGGAAGGACTTGTCATCCGTGGTTCGAGCAATCAGGGCGGCGACGAGGTAGGATCACGGCGGTCAGAGAACGTATCCATCGAGGACCCCACAAGTCGTGCACACGCTCTCAAACTGAATCCGCTTACTTGGTCACAAAGCCTGAGGCAATCTCAACTTTCAAACAACAACTAAATATCGAACACATATCCACTTCCATCCGTGTGAATGTTGAAAACTCGTGAAACGAGTATGTCCGGCGATAGAATGAGAATACCATGTTGAAATCACCTGAAGTCCCCATCCGTGCGATGGATGTAGCTGCTGTGCGCAATGACTGAAGTGAGATGCACATTTTGAAAACGGCCTCCCTCCATCCAGGTAACTTGTGCTAGATGGTGAGAAGAATGTGCGAAGCGTGAAGGCTGGGGCCACATTGAAAGAACTACTCCGCTTCCATCCGTGACTCGGTTGTAAAAGTTAAGCTTCGGGGCCATGCAAAGGGGCA